ACGTTCTTTGTTGTAGTGCACGGTTTACACTCACTTCTGCTGCCGGGGCCTGACTTGCTCCGTCGCATTTTCGTGTGGCCCCGCTCGCGTGAGGGTGCGGTTGTGTTGTCGATACAGTCATGTTTGCAGTTGCCATAGATACATGTTTGCAGTTGCCATAGATACTTGTTTGCAGTTGCCATAGATACATGTTTGCAGTTGCCATAGATACATGTTTGCAGTTGCCATAATTATATACATGTTTGCAGTTGTCATAGATACATGTTTGCAGTTGCCATAGATACATGTTTGCAGTTGCCATAGATGAGCTTACCACTGTAGAAGCTTACCACTACCCTTAGCACTGTAGAAGGCTCTGCTTACAAAAAAGTAGTGCGCTTTGAGACCTCGATGACCAGCAGAGTTATTTCCTGTGTTGTTGTACTGTGTGACTGTGTATGTACTGTGTACTGACAGAGTCCAGTAAGACAGTCACAACAGTCAAAAGCACGGCGGCTAGTTTAGATCCGGTGCCTGCTGGTGCTACGTCACCTCTGCAGTTTGTTGTAGACTTTTTCAAGGCAATGACGAACGCCGACGTCAAGGGAAGAATGCTGATTACCCTCACCGGTATGTGCGTGTGAGTGTGTGTGTGTGTGCTGTGTGTGTGCACGCACACGCGTGTTTGTGTGTGCGTGTGTGTGCGTGTGGGTGTTGCTGTGTGTGTGTGTGGATTTGTGTAACCGCAGTAGCTAGCTACCCGGTATATGTATGCATTTCTGCACACGATCACTGTGTAGCTGATGAGATCATTAGATTTCGTGGCCCTTCCGTTAGGCGCTGCATCTGCCGCTGGATTTTCCGGGTGTTAGCGGCCGTCGTGAATTTCCTCGGGAACAACTCTCTTTTTTTGGGGCCCTTGGTCATTGATGTGGGTATTGTGATCTCTGTTCCAGGAATGAACATGTACCTCGCACAACAAAACCACAGCGGTTGACCAAAGTTCTTTCACTGCAACTCTGAAATTCATGCTTTGAAACACTCATCGCACGGGCTTGGTAATGATGACAGCTCTAATACACTCATCGCACGGGCTTGGTAGTGATGACAGCTCTAATACATCTTTGTGTGTTTACATGTACTCTGTATGTGCTTTTGATGCAGAGCGGCCGAGTGCAGCCAGCTTGAAGTATCTGCTGCTCAATCCCTGCTCACAGTTCATGCCTATAGTACAGCAGTGCCATGCTGTCGTTGTAGCTGGTGGCACCATGCAGCCGGTAAGTGCAGGCACTTGTTTATAATATCCGTGAGAAGCTCGCTTGTGGGCCGTCCGTAATTATCGATCTTTTACACCAAACGAAACAAAGTTTTGTTCATGGGTAGGTGGGTCAGAGTTTCATTTTGAAGAATATTGATAGCTGAAACATCGATCCATTCTAGGTGGGTGGGCCATGGGGGGGGGGGGGGGGGGGGGTTGAAACTGAATTTTGTCCCGTGAAAATTATCGATAATGCTGGATAGCCCCAAAGAAAAGAAAAATATGATTTAGGAGAGAGTTACCTGTGAGAAACACTTTTAGGATCATGACATTTTTATCTCCAAGAGGAATTTGGGACATATGCTGTAGGGGTGGGATTTTTGGAAATGAACCATGTGGGGATATCAATTGAACGCTTGCGGTGCATGTTCAAAGATCCCGGTGGATTTTATACGCATTTTGTACCAGCCGTTGTTTGATGGGACCATCCATTGCCAGTAAAACAATTAGCTCAGTTTTCTAGGCGCTCTGAAAACTCAGGTTGTCCTTTTTTTAGCTCTGGTCTGCTTTCATCCTCGGTTATCTGGAAATAGGCTGGACCCCTTATGGCGTGTAGCCAGCCCAGCTCATGAGCGAGGATCTTGGTTGCTTTCTGGGTCCTATGCAGACTAGCTCTTTTCGGCAACAGCTTCTATATTCGGCAGGGATTACAGAAGAGCGGGTCAGCGAGTTTGCGTGTGGTGAGTGACAGCGCATGCACATGCACGTAGTGTAGTGTTTTGTTCTTTGCTCGTCCTCTGTGTTGTTGGGTGGTAGCAAGAGTACATAATGTTATGTACTCTTGCTGGTAGTAGTCTGGGGACGGGAACGAAGAGAGATCGTGGTGGTGGCGGTGGCGGCGGCGGTGGTGGTGGTGGTTGGTAACACTGCTCTTACATATTGTTATAGTAATGCTTTGCACAACAATGCTTGCCAGTACGCGTTCAACGGGACTAGTCAATGTATTTGTGCCACTTCTGCTTGCCGTAAGGTAGGGGACGATAGAGCAAAGTCCGGCTGATGTGCACTGTGTGTGCGTGCATGCGCGCACGTGTGTGTGTGTGTGTGTGTGTGTTTGTTTGAATGCTCAGATCATGTTATACCAGCCGAGCAGCTACTGTGCGTCACACTGGAGCAAGGCCCGTCTGGCGTGCCGTTGGACTTAACGTTCAAGTCACGCACTTCACCACAGCAGGTGATTTGCGGGGGAAACACCTGAAGAAGTGCCATTTTATCTAGTGGTGTCACTATTGCTAGAGACACTGCTACAGGTCTACCTCCGTTAGTACGACATTGGTTACAAGACAACCCTCATCAGTAGACAACAATCAAAAATCCCCTGACACCTGAAACGTGTACATGCAGGTCCAGATAGTAGATAATACTCGTTACGAGACAAAGTATTTGAAACCCGTGGGGTTGTGTACTAACGCGCAGACCTGTACTACTACCTCCTGGTGGTGGATAACCATTACCTGGCTGCTGTTAAGTCAATACCGTATTTTCCGGAGTATGAGCCGCACTTTAAACACCTCTTCCTCTCCTCTCCTCCATGCGCTCTCACAGCCGACTCACTGCTACCCTCAGTAGCCATTACACACACCAACCAAGGAAGGGTTGCAGGTAGATACTGAAATTCCTCCTGACAGCTGTTTCGCCTTCATAAGGCTCATCAGAGAAGGTGATATTGAATAGGATGATATCAGGTGGAGATGGTCAGATTTATACTACAAAACATGGGCGCAAGATTACGGGCAAAGTGTGAGAATGAGAAGTTACAATTCTCCAGCAACACAGTGCCAGGGGTTCCAAGAAAATGGCAGGTGAGTAATCCAATCACAAGCTGCTAACCTCTCCAGCAATTCTCCAGCAATTCTCCAGCAATTCTTAAAAACTATCACCTAGCCGTTAGAAAATTAATGTTAGCAGCTTGTGATTGGATTTCTCACCTGCCATTTTCTTGGAACCCCTGGCACTGTGTTGCTGGAGAATTGTAACTTCTCATTCTCACACTTTGCCCGTAATCTTGCGCCCATGTTTTGTAGTATAAATCTGACCATCTCCACCTGATATCATCCTATTCAATATCACCTTCTCTGATGAGCCTTATGAAGGCGAAACAGCTGTCAGGAGGAATTTCAGTATCTACCTGCAACCCTTCCTTGGTTGGTGTGTGTAATGGCTACTGAGGGTAGCAGTGAGTCGGCTGTGAGAGCGCATGGAGGAGAGGAGAGGAAGAGTTCTTTACATTTTATTGGCCGAATAGTACCGTTCACCATTTGAAATAACTTTAAACACTAGTAATTCACCGGGAAAAAGTCTGTGCGGCTTATACCACTCGTCAGGTGTGCAAGGATAGACTCGGATGGAGAGCCAAGGATTAGTTTATAGCGGGAAACAAAACGACCAAAGAACTACAAGTTACCCTATAGTGTCCACTAACACCACCAGTTACTTGACAATCAGCTCATGCGATAACATTGCACGACACTGACGGACAGTACTGACGTTCTACAACTAACTGCCAATCAGCTCTAGCACGTCTTGGGTGCCCACTCCAACAGCCTTCCAACTTGGAAGGTTCTAAGTTTTACACTGTGATGGTCAAATTAATGGTGATAAACAGGGTTGATGTCTGTATTTCGTGACAAAAAATCAAAAAATCCAGGTGTGGCTTATACTCTGGAGAATGCGGTAACTTTCCCAGCTCTGACATTTCTTCAAGCCATGTGGCCTGTTCTTGTTCTTATATCGCACTGCCATTGTGTCTTATTCTCTGTGCAGGTGGATGAAATCGGCAGGATTGTGTCAAATTTATGTTCGCTTGTTCCTGGCGGCATTGTCTGCTTCTTCCCATCGTATGCGTACGAGCAGAGCATCATCGACTCCTGGACCAAGTCAGGTGTTATGAAGACTATCAGCAATAAAAAGAAGGTATTTTTAGATTTTGTGTTGGGTTTCAGTTCCCGTTATGGCAACACAGGATTGAGTCTTTCTTCAGATTCTTGGCATTAAGTTGGTGTTTTGATCAAAACAGTTTTGTATTGAGATATTGTGTCATATGTAAGCACATTTGCTTTGCCCGTACTAGAGGCTTTTTCCAATAAAAAGAAGGTACAGTTGTCAGGCTGCCCGTGTGCTCAATCACACTGTCACACTGTCATGTTGTTGTTCACTGTGTTGTCTTTGAATGTGTGCACTACGCACACGTGTGCGCACATGGACACACACATACACACGCGCGCACACACACACACACACACACACACACCTTGACCTTGACCTTGACCTTGACCTTGACAAACAGCTGCCGTTAAACGGCTAAGCTGCCCTCATGAGGAGGGGAACAAAGGGGTAGCATCCCGGCGTCGCGGCAGAACATCCGGCCTCATGCCGCTGCAGATCCTGCTGTCTGCGATATCTCTCGCCCCACGCACAGCAGAACTTGAACTCAAGACGCCCCCTCGCTGTTGGTCGCTACACACACACACATGCACGCACGCACGCACACACACACACACACACACACACACGCGCGCGCGCGCGTTCTGTCATGTCACATATACTAGTAACTAGTATCGTTGATGATTATTTCAATGCAGGTCTTCAGAGAGCCGAAGCTAGCCAGTGATGTGGAGAGCACACTCTCCAACTATGCTAGGTGTTGCAAGGTAAGACGAACAGAGTGCAGGGTGTGTGTGTGTGTGTGTGTGTCACTGTGTGTCACTGTGTGTGTGTGCATTGTCCATTGTGCACGCCCCGTGAGCAAGGGCTTTCTCTGCTGCTGTGTCTGGTCTGACGACTCAAATATCTTACACAGCTTTCATTGTTCTTGATTCTCATTGATCCAAGCCAGCAGACCGACTGTATTAGCTGAAGCCCATGAAGTACATGTGCCGCATAGTGTGCATGTGCTGTGTGGTTGCACACAACACAGATACCGTATGTTCTGTTCATACATACCATCAAGAGTACATAACCCCCGGGAGTGTGCAACTCCCGCATACCCTGCTGTCCGGACAAAATTTCAAGTTGATGTCATTCGCATGATGTAATGCTCCTTGCGCCGGTGATTTACGACATTTGTACTGGGTGTCAACATATCACACATTTTGTTTACACTAGTTTGTACAGGATCAATGGGGCTTTGTCCACCACAGGTTCAGGATACGCCTGATAATACGTGTACAGTGCGCATTGCATCATAAAAATGACGTCAACTCGAATTCTGTCGGGACAGCACCCATACTCCACCATAGTCGAGTTGCACACTCTAGGGGGATTATGTACTCTTCATGCCATGTTCTGTTTTGTACACCGTTTTCCTATTTTCCTATCAGCTGACTAGCGGTGGGGAGCACAGTCTAACCGGTGCACTGTTGTTTAGTGTGGTCGGTGGCAAGCTGAGTGAAGGAATCAACTTTGCTGATGACCTGGGGAGGTGAGAGAGCAGCTGACTACTGTTGTGCTTTGTTATCAGAGTGAAATCCAACCTTGTGATTAGATCAGCCCCGGGAAATGTGTGGCTCTAGCACTACAAAGACTGATGTGCCGCTCTATGTTGCTCACAGTGTTGGATTTCACTTTCCTAGGCTGCAGTGTATCTTTGCATGGTTCAGTACTGGTCTGTCCCTGACTCCAGAATGGCGCTGCAAGATGCTTCAGGCTATATCACCCAACACGTGCCCTGGGAGAAGCTCCAGGACACGCCATGCAATACCATATGTGTGCTCTGTGCATTCCTCAAAACTCCACTGAGAGTTGCGAGAGATGATTTCACCGTGGAAAGCTTCAGATGGCAGTTTATTCGCTATCATTGCTTCAGCGATGGGGAAGAGTATGAGTATGAGTGTTTTCCTGTGCTAAATACGATGCTGTTGACTTTGCTGTGTAGATGTGTTATCATGGTGGGTCTTCCCTACCCCAGTACACAGTCTGTGGAACTACAGGAGAAAATGACTTACTTGGATAAACAACAACCAGTAGGCCTTTGTGCTCTCTCTCTCTCTCTCTCTCTCTCTCTCTCTCTCTCTTTCTCTCTCTCTCTCTCTCTCTCTCTCTCTTTCTTTCTCTCTCTCTCTCTCTCTCTCTCTCTCTCGCTCTCGCTCTCTCTCGCTCTCTCTCTGTCCATCTCGCTCATTATAATCTCTCTCTCACTATCACTCTCTCTCTCTTTCTCTATCTATCTATCTCCTTGCCTGTCTCTCTGTCCCCGTGTGGAAAAGTTTTCGTTAATTCTCAATTTCTTACCATTGCTATGTTGGCGTCGTTCAATCTTGTTGACGTATGTTCGTCTGAAGCTGATGTTGAGTTAGCCGTCCACTGCTCTCCTGTACATATCATATCCAGTCAATGCCAGATGTTGATAAGACATATGCATAGTAGGGTCTACTTGAAGGAGGAGATCTGCATGGTGTACGTGTATGCATGTCCAAGATAGCGGGAGTGTGCATTGATCGTATAGTTTGTTTTTACATGCCCTGGCTTGTACTCATGTGGGCAGTTAACTACTATGCCTTGTTGTCCTCCACCCTGTGATGATGCATTGTCTTTGCTGGTAAGAACTCATGTTTACACAGTTACTACTCCAAGGGCTAGTTTCTTTGTGGATCATCTGAGTTTGCACATGCATGCATTCTTTGTATCTTTGACTTTGGTTTGTTCTTGCATCCCCGGCTGTCTGTCTCTTTTCGTCACATGGCTGTATTCCAGGGTAGTGGTCGTGAGTACTATGAAGGCCTGTGCATGAAGGCCGTCAACCAGTCCATCGGTAAGTTAACATGGAGCTATATGTTGCCCATGCTACTGTTGCTGCTGCTGCCGTGTCCAGTACACGCTACTGCACTGTGTGCCGAATGTGAGGGTGTGAAGCATTTGTGTGGGCCTTGTAGCGAGTGATTATGGTGAGCCAACCGCTGGTGCACCCCCCCCCCCCCCCCGTATGCTGTATAATGATACACTGTGCTAAACTAGACCCATAAATTCTGTGCTGCTGCTGTTCCGTGATTGTCCACTTATGCAGGCCGTGCTATTCGTCACATCAATGACTACGCCACTATCGTACTACTGGATCAGCGCTACAGCCGGCCGCACGTCGTTCAGAAACTGCCCAACTGGATCCAGGCCAGTACTCGCACATGCGCTACATTCCCACTCGCCTTCTCCGCCATCAGAAAGGTACCGTTGTTCACATCTCCGCAATACAGTTCTAAACATCTTCTTTCTTTTTTATACACTCTAAGGCCTCTTTTAACCTCTAAACGTGTTTGGTGCGTCCATGGAGCTATGAAGCCGAGACCTCTGGTCGGCGGAGCTTAATGGGCCCCACCACCACACTCCATCATTCACCCCAGTGTCTGGAGATATGCGGATTTTGTAGAAAAAAAAGAAAGAAAAAAAACGTCTGTCTTACGTAAATTGGCGAGTGGTGCTACAAGTAAATCCACTAAACAAAACGTTCTTGACCACACCGCATTAGATACGGCCCTCGACCACCGCCACAGGTGCCAGCTCCCTGAGCTTTGTGCTATGCAGACCGAGACCCCATGAACATACATGGCTTCAGGCTGGAGCAGCGTCAATTGTTAGGTTCTTAATAGGTAGCCAAGAGACAAGCAGTTTATTGAAAAGCACAAAGTAGAGAAAACTGAGAAAGATTCAATCTGAAACACGATAGAGACGACTCGTCAAAATAAGAATGCAGGCGTACATACAAGTAGAGCCGAAGTAAGTTGTGAGAATGGAACCCCACAGGGACACTTTGAAGGAACGTCAAGGAGAGGCCAGCCACACCATAGTGCGAGGTCATCCCAGAACTCCTGCTTTGAGAGGTGAAAACCACGTTCCTTGAGAGGAAGAGCAGTGAGCCAGGAAGAGGGGCTTTTGCGGGACAGCTCATCCAGACGATGGGCCAAGGGGTCATCCGCAGCTTCTCGGAAAATAGCGAAAGAAGCAGCACTGGCTTCTTGGAAGCCTTGGCAGCAGACACTCTCTCACGTTGGGCTAGTTGAGCCACAAATTCACAGGAATGATTTTTCCACTCGCTATCTTGCTGGTGGACGATCTCATCAACGTGGCTGCACAAATGACTTGGGAAGCCTGCAGTTGAGAGGTAGCGATTTCTTGAAAGCAGGGCAAACCGATCCCACCGAGCCGACAAGGAGCCGCAGAAGAGAGAGGTCATCAGCCGTGAACGTGCGTTTCCTTGTCAGAGCTGGAAGGAAGTGCTCGGTGACAGTTTCATCCAGGCGCTGCAGCTGTTCGGTTGAGAACTCCAGTGTACGAAGGAGATATGTCCATCGACCTCACAGCCCATGTGTGAGGGCGGCATAAGCCGCATGGGATTCAGTAGTGGCAATCTTTGACAGTCACAGAAGCTCTTGCTGCCAGTCTCGGACTTTCTCAGTTGTAGGGCCAGCGCTGAAGTGTCCCTAACACTGCACCGAGGTAGCGTGTTCTATCTGTGACCACCTCAATGACGGTTTCTGCAAAGACACTCAGGTTAAACAGGTCCGGCTTGTCGCAGAGGAGAGTCTAAGTGGCATTGACATGGTAGCTGAAGGGCTGCCTAGTCTTGTGCACATCATCCCACCAGTGTCTGAAGGTTTGGCTTGCCTGCGCCACTCGAGTCATTAACACTCCATGATTGACGGATGTTGGTGTGGGTAGTGCATGCACATCACAGTTAGACAGTTGCTCTTTGTGTCGGGTGCTGTAAAGTGGGAAACTTTCACTTGAGAAATTTCACTAGTTTTGCAACCATCGCACATGTGCAAATTTGATCACCGCGACTTGCACTGTTTGTCGGTTGTGGACACCATAAAAATGCAATTGAAAGGATCAACTTTCTTTCTCGTCGCGAGCCAATGCAATTCTTGAAAACGCACAATCTCAGAATCTGCACATCACAAAAACTTTCCCGCTTGACGGTATTTGGCGTATTGTGCAGTTGAGCGCAGGTTACCCTGTCCTATTCCTGGGTGATGGTCACCGTGCATGTGTTAGACTGGAGAGCATAGGAGATATGGTCGACTCCACTTATAAGTTATAACAAAACTCACATGTAGTGAATTTCCCGATTTGCGAACCATTACCCATGTCCCTGTTTGAACCCATACAGAATTGAACCTTTGTAGCCAGCTGTTTTCATTTGAAACGAACCATACTTATCGTGTAGGTGAGGATGTAAACCAAGTGCACTCATGCATGCAGTTACTGGCTGCATACATGTCAGGCATACCGTATTTTCCAGAGTATAGTGCGCACTTTAGATGTGCTATTTTAGGCACTAAATCGCAGGTGCGCATTATGCTCCGAATATGAAATGCATGTACTTCAATGAAGATTGAAGTGCGCACCCCCAATGAAGATTGGGGGTGCGCATTGTACAAAGGTGCGCACTATACTCCGAAAAATACGGTAATGACATTACAGAAAAGCACTCATACAAGATTAGTGTGCGCTTGTGTGAGTGCATTTCTCTTATAAAGAACTTCTGTCAAAGAGCTGAATCTCTTGCACATTGGTGTTCGTTACATCAGGAGTCGACTGTATTCTGCACTTGCCACCTGTTCCTACTTGTGTTCTTGTACATCTGTCCAAGTAAAGCGCCCTAAACTGCTAAAGGGTTATTCAATTCCACTATTAGTACGGTGTAGTGGTGCGTTGAGTGACATGACAAGCGCTGACAGGTCGCCAGGGATTCATAGCACATCTAGGAGGACAACACGGACGACTGGAGCATGAAACCAAGTAGGTTTCGCTCCCATGCTGCCCATTCTGGTCGCCTTGGCCCGGGGAAGGGCCGATGTATGCACACTCACACATGGCACCCCTGGTCTGGGTGCGCTTGGGGTCAGCATGTCAAGCCCGTGACACACACTCGCGAGTAGCAAAGGCCACGGGTTACGGTGAACTAACTTCCAAATCTGTACAGAACGCACATCACCTCAGGTACTTTGATTTGGTGTCGTCTCCCTAGATGATGTGCCTCCCTGCTAGTCACCCATTCCAGTGAGTACACTGTGTATACAATGATGCCACTAGTTTTGAATATCCTCCATTACAAGTGGCACTACACCGTACGTCTCACACTCTTGTGCTCTCGTCTTTGGTTTCTGTTCCTGTCCAGTTCTTTGCACAGAGGAAAGCCGTGTCCAAGCCCTAGATGGTACTCTCGGTTCACTTGCCACCCGTACGCACGTTTCAGTTTCTTCTGCTGCACTCTTGGTGGGTAATGACGGTGCTGATGAATGAAACTAACTTCATGCGATCAGCAGTTTATCCAGCACTAGGATTTTTTAGTTTTTTTTACCCTTTTTCATTAATTTTTATCTTCTTTTTATCTTTTTTTTTTACAGATTTCTTACCCAACCCAACATTTAAAATCTCCAATCAGTGTCTATTCCAACATCCAACACTCAACGTGTCCATGCTATCCAACAAACATCACCAGTTTGTAAATTATTCCTGCCAGTTCAATGAAGTCATACTCAGTGCTCCACAATGCAGTTCCATATTCTCAGTTTTCCTTGCCAGTATTTATGCCCATGCAAGAAAGGTCTGCGCTATCATAAAATTCAGCAATAATTATGACCCTGATTATAGGTGCATGCTGTGTGGACCATGTACCAGGCAATATTGTTTTCATTAGAGAATCCCTCACTCTAGCTCAGCTACAGTTACTTCATAAAATTTACCTGTGATCTTTGTATTCCTTGCAATCAGGTTCACTGCATGCACTCCATAGAACATAGCAAGCTGTTCCAATCCTTGTCACAAATTCTGAACTCCTCCATCTGAGTGTGCTCTGAATTACAATGTCTGCTGTCTAGTGTGTTATTTCACTGCCTGTAGCATTTGTGGAGGGTTCCTGAAAGTTTGACTCTCAAACAAACAAAACAAAAAAGAGTAAAATAATGCTCACCAGAGATATAGCAGATGTCAGCTGGCACCTTCCACCATGCTGAACTGAGAATGCCACATGTCTTTGTATTGTGCATGTACTATGTCAGTCTCCTGAGTGACTCACTAGCCAGATTGCAATAGAGAACAGTCACACCTGGTTACTGCTCAATGAAATGCGATCGCGCGAGACTGAGTCCAGTTTGCGCCCTGCACCAGCAATCATTCCAGTGTTCGCACTTCCAGGGCTGCACAGCGCCAGGCGCGTGCTTGACTCACGCAATCAGATTTCATTAAGCAGCACGATTGTAGAACTGTAGTTTTCACAACGTTCATCAAAGAATGTTCATAATGAATCAGCTGAGAGCTCCAGGTTCTCGAGTCGTGCAGCGCACATGACAGCTCAGTCATCATGTTTCTTCCTTCCTTTACTATTCAACTGCAACTCAGTACTCTAGCAGTGTGTCCATAGCAGGTCATATGGGGGAAAGCGTTTGGGCATATAATATACGTATTGTTTTGATTAGCGTCACAAACATTGCGCCATGGCTATGTTCCTAATGTGTGGGCCACCACGACATGTCTCATGGGTAATGGACACCATGGGCGGTGTTGTATCCACGATGACTAACTAGTACCCATTAAACACACACTCTCACACACACGGAGCGCAGAACAAAGCGAGCAGGCAGGTGAAGTAGTGTAGGAACACAAGGAAAGCGTCACAATCAGTTATTAGATTGAGCAAGACGAGAGGAAATGGGAGAGAGCAGATTGAGGCGGGCAGCTAACGCATGGCCCTCAGCACAGAGCAAGGCGAGAAGAGTGATCTAAAAATAAAATACTGGATCGTCACCACACAAAACTGAGCTGTATAAATTACTACTGTACTTGTATGACAGCACACAGACACAGTGACCGAGGGCACACAACACGACAGCACACAGATACAGTGACAGAGGGCACACAACACATCAGCAAATTGCAGCACATATACAGGCAGAAAGGAAGTGCGCGCAGCACTGGACAGCACTCTTCCGAACCCAAAAGAAACAACAAAAAAGTGGCAAAAGAGATAAAACACGGAATCAGTAGTGGACACAATTCATTGCTTGGAAAAGAAAATCAAGAAGAAATCGGTGGAATTGGACGCAGATCAGATACATTTATCAGTTTTATAAAATAGTTCTCACAACCCCAGAAGGGACGAGACTCGACGAGGCTCAATAAATCATAACATAGGCCAGGAGACAAGTAATGTCCCGGCTTGCCATACCTAAATTGAAAGCACTAAGTGAAGATAAAGTGCTGTTACTAGGCAATAAACAACAGGCTACATGACGTTTGAACTTGAACAGTGGGCACATAGTGCCAGTGACACCCAATACGAAAACAGAGAGCAACATCCATCATACGGCGGCAACTATATCAAAGCAACACACACGCACGCACTACTTGTAGTGTACATCACAGATAAACAAACACCCAACAATGCAGTCAGTCAGTAAATCAGTCAAACACACACACACACACACACACGGTAGCACACGGCAAGACACTAACCGGCAATGCAGGAAATGGTCGCCGCATCGGCGTCCAAGTGTGAGCACAGCGACCTCCACTGCATGCACTGCAGGCCGAGCAAACCATCCCATTCAACTCGCTGCAACTCGACCAGGTCCTTCATAGCAGCGTCACGCTTCTGCTCATTATCGGCCAGTTGGTCTTTGTACTCCACCTGTTCCTGGTCATTCTCATCGCGGTAGTCCAGTCTGGCACCGTCGGTAATACGTGCAACCTCAACTTGACAGAACGTGAGTGGCCTGGGAAGCTGTGTACACTTGGCCTGGATGCGACGTTGGTTTCTCTCGTACACGCCCCGCATACGCTCCAGCTGGTCATCAAAGCGCTGCTGCAGATTGTAGCGCTCCTGCAGGATGCTAGTGCGTAGCTTGGCCAGCTGGGGTGGGTTGCCACCGGGCAATGCTGGTCCTAGCTTGTCCGCTTCCACGGCCTCTCTCTCACGACGCTGCTGTAGAAACTGACTCAGTCGTGCCGGATCGCTCGGAACCTGCAGCGCAACGTCATCAAGAGAAGAGCGCGACGGCATTTAAGCAAATCATAAGCTTTCAAAAAAGTGGCAGCAAACTTTCTTTTAAAGTCTTACCATTACAAACCATACACGTAGAAACAACCAGTGACGAACAGTCTAGCAGTTTGCATACACCGACTGGGTAGCAGCAGCAAAAATACAAAGCAAAAATTAATATCCATTGAAACTCGGATGGCGAGCCCGAAGTATTCATGTAAACAAGGTGTCAGGTCGTTGAATATCTCAGTACGAGGTGAATAGCAATTTCTGGACATGAAAATAAAATAGAGGCCCACTGGCTGTGTGTTTTACATTTTTCATATCTTTTTGTATCTATTGTATGGCTTAATCCTTCATCTTTCCAAATATGTGACAATTGCTCATGCTGTGATCCCAGAGACTTTATACCAGGATGTTTTCGACAGGCCAATTTTTTGGCCTAAATTTCAGTGTATCGAATTCTGGACATGAAAGTAAAATAGCGTCAATAGGCATCCTATCCTGCACCATTTTTGTTATTTTTTCTATTGGTGGACTGCAGTTGGCCTCTTCACACTTCCAGCTGACAGGTCCAAGACTATACAGCGTCTGAAGTGAAGTGCACATGGGGAAGCCAACAATTCGTCCAATACTTCTTATTTTACTCAAAATTCAAAATTCTCATGCGACATAGTACCACAAAACTCGTTGAAATGCCTCCCAAGAAAAGGCTATCAACAAGGCACCGACACGAGGAGAAACTACAACAGCCCAGCTGTCAACTACAACAAGAAAAAACTTCATCAACCTGACTGACTTGACTCTACACGCGACGAAAAATTATTTTACTCGAAATGTCCAGAAATGTACAATGTCCAGAAATAGCAATTCACCTCGTACCCTCGTTAATTTTGTGCCGTATTGTCGCACTATCTGACTGTATATTATCTCGTTACCTTGGTGGACTGTTGGTGAAAACATGTACTTCGAAGTAGGTCATTCTCCCTTACAAAATATCAATCTTGTAAACCACCCAGTAGAGCGGTAGAGCATTACCATGCATACTAAATTACTAATGTACTTCAGCAAGCCGTCCAGAGTTGAACTCAAAGTTTCAAGATTTACCAACAATGTCTGCTCAACGCAGTACATACACGGAAATTAGTTAGTGGACTCGGAGAGCCAAGGATTAATTTATAGGCAGAAAAAAGGACCAAGGAATTACAAATTACGCATGTTGAGCTGATTGCCAAGTTATTGGTGGTGTTAGTGGACATTATAGCATAACTTTTAGTTCCTTGGTCCTTTTTCTTCCTGGAATTAATTCACAGCTCGGAGTGAGAATAACAAGGATGCAGTTTACAGGGTTTAATATGGGCCGTTACACGCCCCCCGATTGGTTGAGAGACCAACCTCCTCTCCCCTGACTCTCTTGTGAGGTCTGCATTCGCCACTAAGGTGAACAGGCATAGTGGTGGCCTGCGGATGCGAAGGCTAGTTTGTGTGTTTCTGAACATTCAAGCGATGCCGACGCGGATCCCGCGAATATTATATTTATATAATTAATTGATTTATAGTAGGGATGAAACGATCATCCATTTCTTCTTATCGAGTACCGTTTATTATTAACGATCGAGTTATCATAAAACGAGTATGCTGAATTTGTATGACAAATATATTTTACTGGTCTCCGGGGCGGGGAATATGTGCATGACACACCGGATCCCAAAAGTGCGAAGGTGCCTAGAAAAAGGCGTAAATTTTGTCACCTTGGATGACGCGTGCTGGAGTTGACTATGCAGACAGTGCGACTTAGCTAGTACTATGCACATGTACACTGCACATGTACAAGTAGTGCATACTGGATAACAGCATAACGAGTAGCGATCACAGAGATAACGAGTAAGTTCCGAGTAATCGGCATAATCGTTTCATCCCTAATTTATAGTATTTCAGCGCATAGCAATTTCTCATCCGCATACTCCGTACTCTCAGCAGTACTCAACAAATACCAGCAACAGGTGGAGCTTACCAAGACAGACGACGAGGACTCCGTCTTGCATTCCCCTTCGCCTATGACCCGGCGTCCACGCAGGGGTGCCAGCGACGCCAAGTCAAACCGAGCACACCCGTACGCCCTATACGGCAGCGGGGACGGAGAGGCCGCCGTGACATCACTGCCGGCCCGTCGGTCCGCAACTTTGCACGGCGGCGACTCGGTCATGCTGTGGTCCGAGTGGCACGTGGCAATACCAGAGTCGTGCGAGTCAATCACCGGCAAGACCGTGCCAGTAGCAGCGGCACGACACCGGCTGAACGGCGTCCTCGGCGTGCTAGGAATGGACACAGACCAGTCGTCGCTGTCGTCCAGTATAGCGCTGTCATCACCAGTGAATGGAGCGGCCTCTTCTTCGCACGTGCCACTGTCCATGGTGGTGCTGGTGACGTCTTCTTTCTGGATGGCCACTTGCGACGGTGGCGGCGCTGACACTAACTCCTGCTCAGTGTCGTCCATCTTCACAGCCACTTGTGGCGCTGCTGACGGCAATTCCTTGTCTGCCGTCTGTATGGCAGCTGGTGATAGTGACTGGTGGATCTGATCTCGGAGGGACGGACGCACGAGTCTCCGGCGCTTACTGCGTGGCACAACAGTATCAGAAGTGCATGCTTGCGGCTGCTCCCGAGCGGTGTCGTGCTTGTCACTAGCGCGAGGGCTAACTTCGGCTACCGATGCAGAGGTGGGCTTGTACTCCGCTACGCTCTCCGTGGACGTGTTACTTGCTTGCGTCTCACATGCTGGGAACTTTTCGAAGAGCGACATTCTCGGACTGCTGCTGGCAGAATCAGCAGCATCAGCACGGTGAGTGGCACCGACGACGCAAACAAGACCTCCGGCTACAAGACTAACGTCGGAATCGGTGCGCGCCGAGATGGGCTCTTTTGAGGCAGGCTGTGGCGCTGTATCCTCACCATCTCCTCTCTCCTGCGACTGATCAGCCTGGCTGGTGATGCTGATACTGGCGGACTGTGCTGGCTCAGTTTCATCAGTTTGGTTCTGCTGAGCTTGAAGAAGCGATACTCGCGGGCGAAATGACTTGAGAAGGTCCACGACTTCAGTATGGCCGACAGATACAGCGTAGTCGGCAGCACACTCACCCGTGGCATTGCACAGCTCCGGGTTGGCACCGTATTTCAGCAGCTCTCTGATGATCCCTAAGTGACCGTAGCTAGCGGCGTCGTGAAGCGGCCGATCCTTGTTGTAGCCGGCAACATTCACCGGTGCACCTGCTTCCAGTAACTCCTGCACGATCTCTAGGTGTCCATTACTGCATGCCTCATGTAGCGGTGTCCAACCGGCATTGTCCTTTAAGGACACATCAGCGCCACGCTCGAGAAGCGCCACCACCATTTCAGTATCGCCGCGAATTGATGCAACGTGCAGCGGAGTCTCTCCCCGCGTGTTGCGCTTGGAGAGGCAAGCCGGGATGCGGCATGCAACCTTAACATCAAGCACTGGGCGATCGCGACGTCTAACCATGGCCCGTGCTCGAGCAGCACTGGACTGACCATCCTCTTCACTCTCGCTTGCGGGCTGTGACTCGTCTGCTGTCATCCGCAGCACCATAGCAATTTGTTGGCGTTCTGTTAACTTCGGAGTCTTGGCCGCTGGTTCCTCGGACATACGACACTTAGCGCTACCAGTGTATTGTGCGGGCAAATCATCTCCATCGGAATTGGCTTCACTGCGTGGGGATAGTGCTGCAGGCTGGGGAGATCTGGATTTTGAGCGAGATGAGTCACTGCTGGGACTTCTCCTCCTTGGCGTTTTGTCAAATGCCGTCAGAAGTCTCCGCTTCAACGGCTTGCTGCCTGAAGAACGAGAGGTTAGTGAGGCCGAATTCGAGCCATGCGTGTGTGGTGTAGAGTCAGCCAGCGGGTCAGCAATATCTTCATCCCTTTTCCTTTTCGAAGGAGTTTCTAAGTAGTTTGGCATATTCTCACATGGAGACAAAGCTGGCAGCTCCATTCTTCCTTTGTCCGTAATTCGTTCCAGGAGTGTATGTATTATTCATTCACCTCAAGCGAATCAAGAAACGTATGCCGACAGTTGTCGGTCCTTGGGAGGAGAAAGAAGAAACTGGTGATAGACAACAAAAGATTGCCAATGTTGGAATGCAAACAAATCCAACTCGCGGGAAATAAAGTAATAAAGCACGCACACAACACTGATGCACTTTCCGAATTTCCCGCCGTTTGTTTGCTCCAACTGACACGTGCATCCAGTTTGCGCAGTGCGCACACGTAGACCCGGGTGCTCGAATGAGACACAGGGTACCAAAACAGAAACAGCCTGAAATTGTACCTAAACTTGTTCCGATTTCGTTTAGTTTTCACAAATACCATTATAGCAATAAAAACTGCTTTATGGCAGTTTTCTAAAAAAAGTTATTGTGTTCTAGTCCATGGACGTGGACCCCGTCTAAAAAGTAAGAAATTAACGAAATGTGATAGCCGAAAATTAAAATTTCACACAAAACCTCACAATAATCACAACACTTGAAATGCTGCTTTCAACACTTTTAGTAGTCTAGATACAGTGCAACGAGTGTTAGTTTCCAAGATCTTTACAAGACTGGCGAACACTAAATGTCATGAAGAAAGTGAAGAGAAAGGAGGTTTATATAGGAAAGAGATTGTGATAGAAGACTGTGCAATGAAGTTTGTTGTTTTGTTAGATATCTGACGTGTGCTGTTTGGAAGAAGTGTTTGGATGCAAACAGAACTTACAAGAGATGAGTAAAGACTACTTTTCTACAATAGCGTTGTAGGCGAGGAGTGCGTAACATCAAAAGATGTCGTAATGTGTATTGGAACTATGCTAGCCAAACATTACGTAATTATTATGGTAGCGAAGTACGTGTAGTAGGTATTACAATGTGTGCGAGAGTATGGTGAATCAGTGTTTGTGATGATGAGGAAAATATGACGTGTACATGCAAACAAATGATGATGTCATGATGCGAGAACGTCAGAGACGCTACAGAGCTCCCCTCCTAGTGAATGAGTAATGAGCGATAACTAGCGCGATAAAGGGAGAGCAAGCAAATGGGATAAGCGAGAGAGTGTCAGAAATAGGCGGGAAATCTGACTTGACGACCAGCTCGTGTTTGGCGTGGCGGAGGCACGTCGAATGCGAGCGATGGCGTCGGCTTGGTCGGATGGCAATGGTCGACAGACTGGTTGTCATGGAATGCGGGTTTGAGTCGGTCGATGGATACTGTGTCGGAGCGGCCGTTGAGGTCGAGGCGGAAGTACTTATCATGACGTTCCAGGACTCGGTGTGGACCAGTGTAAGGACGTTGGAGGGGCGTTCGTGTTGCATCTGTGCGAATGAAGACATGAGAGCATGTCGAGAGGTCAGCTGGAATGAACGGATGCTGGGTGGGTGGCTTGCGGGGTTGTGTAGGGCGGAGCTCGGACATGGCTTGTTTGAGGCGGCTGACATAGGACGTCGGATCCGGAAATGGCTCAGGCTCGTCAGTGAGGAAATCACTTGGCAGGCGGAGGTGGCAACCGTAGACCATTTCTGCAACTGAGCAGTTGAGGTCAGCCTTCAGGGAGGAGCGAATGCCGAGCAGGACTAGTGGCAGATGTTCCGTCCAGCGCTGTGGATTGTCGGAAGCTCGGAGTGCAGCTTTCAGTTGTCTGTGAAAGCGCTCTACCATGCCGTTGGCAGCCGGGTGGTAAGCCGTTGTGCGAATGCGAGATGTGCCAAGTAGTGACATGAGCGATGACCACAGGGATGACTCAAATTGGGCACCTCGGTCGGTTGTGAGCACAGTGGGAACACCAAATCGGGCGACCCAGGTGGCAACAAACTGGCGAGCGACGGTTTCGGCTGTAATGTCGGGAATAGGTACTGCTTCGGGCCAGCGAGTAAAGCGATCTACCATCGTCAAGAGGTAGCGAGACTCACTAGAAGATGGAAGCGGGCCTACGATGTCGACATGGACATGGGAGAAACGGGCATCAGGTTGCTTGAATGCACTTACGGGAGATGTGGTGTGGCGCTGAACTTTAGACTGCTGACAAGCGTGGCAGGTACGACACCACTCACTAATATCCTTGTTCATTGCGGGCCAGACGTAGCGAGCTGTAATCAGGTGCCTGGTAGCGCGGGTACCAGGGTGGGAGAGGCCGTGAAGCGAATTGAAAACAGCACGGCGCAGCTTGGCAGGTACATACGGGCGGGCAGACGCAGTAGAGGTGTCACAGATGAGCGAGTGATCAGTCATGGGCAGAGCTATAGATTGCCAGCATAGCGAAGTGGATGGATCCTTACCAGGACTGGGCAAGTCTGGATCATCTTGTTGAGCGACGGCAAAGGAAGCTGTGTCAATGGCAGTGATGGCAGAAACGGGTTCATCAGGTAGGTGGCATCGTGACAGTGCATCAGCGGCAGCATTCTGAGAACCCTTGACATGACGAATATCTGTCGTGAACTCAGCAATGTACGACAAATGGCGCTGTTGACGCGGGCTGTGGGTCTGTGAACGGCTGTGGATGGCATATGTCAGAGGCTTGTGATCGGTGCACACATGGAAGACACGCCCTTCCAGGAAGTGTCGGAAATGCTTAATGGCTAGGTAAATAGCGAGGAGCTCTCGACAGAAGGTGCTGTAGCGTGTCTCAGCAGGCTTTAACTTGCGTGAAAAGAAGGCAACAGGATAACACTCACCATCTAGCTCTTGTTGGAGGACGGCACCAACAGCAATGTCTGAAGCGTCGACCATCAAGCTGTAGGCGGCATCCGGGCGAGGATGGTGAAGTGTGATGGCATCAGTGAACGCAGCTTTGACATCATTGAAAGCAGCGAGGGCCGAGTCGGACCAGACGAGCGCGCCTTTGGTGCGGTGGCGTTTCTCAAGCATAGCGTGCAGCGGTGCGAGCTTAGCAGCAAGATGTGGCTGAAATCGGTGATAGAACGTGACGAAGCCGATGAACTCACGGAGCTTACGAACACTAGCTGGCTGTGGGAATTCACGAATGGCGGTCATGCGAGCGTCGAGAGGTCGGATACCTGAGGCAGTCACGTGATGTCCCAGGAAGTCAAGCTCATCCTGGCCGAACTGCGACTTCCGGACGTTGATCAAGATGCCATGTGAAGCAAGGCGGGAGAATATGCAGCGAAGGTGGGCCATATGTTCAGCGGGTGAGGCGCTAGCAATGAGCAAGTCATCCAGATATGCAAAGCAGAAGGGAAGGTCTGAAACTACCTGGTCAATGAAGCGTTGGAATGTCTGGGCTGCGTTGCGAAGGCCAAAGGGCATGCGGACAAACTCAAACAGTCCAAAGGGGGTGGTGATGGCAGTTTTCGGGATGTCGTCAGGGTGCACAGGAATGTGGTGGTATGCACGGACGAGGTCAATCTTAGAGAATATGATCTTGTCATGCAGGTGGGACGTAAAGTCTTGAATATGCGGGATGGGATAGCGGTCGGGGATCGTGCAGTCATTCAAGGCTCGGTAATCACCACAGGGTCGCCAGTCACCGGATTTCTTTGGCACCATATGCAGAGGGGATGACCATGCACTAGAGGAGGGACGAATAATGCCTAAATCTAACATGTGTTGGAACTCACACTTAGCGACAGCAAGGCGGTCGGGTGCCAGACGGCGAGGCTTAGCGTGGACGGGGTGGCCATCTGTGACTATGCGGTGTGTCACATTGTGCTTGACAGGCGAGTCACCAGTGGTCGGTCGGACAAGGTCAGGAAACTCACTCAGCAGGGCAGAATACTCACTAGGGCTGTCAGTGTCCAGCAGGTTGGTAGCGGAGGTGCTGACATCCGAGGCGAATCCGACAACGGCAAGTTGAGTAGTGGAGTCCCGCAGACATCTGGCGGCCAGGTCGACAGTGAGTTGGAAGTGGCCAAGGAAATCCGCACCCAGGATCGGATAGCTGACGTCAGCAACGACGAAGACCCATTTGAAAGTGCGTCGGAGACCTAAGTCTAAATCTAGCAGCTGCTGACCGTACGTGGCGATGCTGCTCTGATTCGCTGCACGGAGGCGAGGGCTATTGCGATGAACACGACGAGACAGAGTTACGAATGACGGAGGAAGAACACTGACGGCGGCGCCGGTGTCGACAAGGAACTCGACGGACTGGGAGCGATCCTTGACGAATAGTAGGCGACCGGTAGCGGTATTCGAGGGGCCAACCACACTAGCGGTCGCGACTAGTGGCTGGCCTTCCCGTTTCCCGACAGGAATCGGCAGGGGTCTCGGCATTTGTTCGCCTTCGCACCGAACGCACGGTGATACCAGCAAAGGTCGTCGTGATTGTCACGGCCGGGAGACCTGGAGGCACTTGGGTGGCGTGACGGTGGCCCGGGACTACGCTCTCGTTGGCGGCCACGCTGGGAAGGGGCACCGGTGTCACGGGTCATCACATTCACAGCGGACGTCAGCTTGGCGAGTTCAGCTCGGAGCTGGGCCATCTCAGCCCTGTCAGCGGTGCAGGCCTGTTCCGCATCTGTGGACGCTGTAGATCTACATGATAAGGCCGTACTAGACCGAGCAGGGGCTGCACTCAGAGTCAGAGCGTGAACACTTGTACCGGTGAGTGGGGTTGAGCACGTGCTATCAACCATCTTGTCAGCAAGCGCGGCGAGGTCGGCCAGGCTGAGGCACCAGTCACGGGCAAACGCTGTACAAACAGCTCGCGCAGGATAGTCGGGTCTAGAGACTTACTGCCCGAAAGCCAGCGGAAGCGGAAGAACCAGCGTTGCTGGACATATTGCACTTTACTCACGTCGGAGGTCACCAATTTAGTAGTCTAGATACAGTGCAACGAGTGTTAGTTTCCAAGATCTTTACAAGACTGGCGAACACTAAATGTCATGAAGAAAGTGAAGAGAAAGGAGGTTTATATAGGAAAGAGATTGTGATAGAAGACTGTGCAATGAAGTTTGTTGTTTTGTTAGATATCTGACGTGTGCTGTTTGGAAGAAGTGTTTGGATGCAAACAGAACTTACAAGAGATGAGTAAAGACTACTTTTCTACAATAGCGTTGTAGGCGAGGAGTGCGTAACATCAAAAGATGTCGTAATGTGTATTGGAACTATGCTAGCCAAACATTACGTAATTATTATGGTAGCGAAGTACGTGTAGTAGGTATTACAATGTGTGCGAGAGTATGGTGAATCAGTGTTTGTGATGATGAGGAAAATATGACGTGTACATG